AAATACAGAGATTGATAGATCCATAGATAGATAAATGATACATAGAGAAAGATTTGTAGAAGGTGCTGCTTCAGGTCTCCATAACTAGAAGGGAGAAACCAGATTCCGAAGAGAGATAACACCCACAGGCAGAGCAACATCAAAGCCCACCAAAGCCCACAACCACATGGACACAACACACCACAAACCAGATCAAAGATCCAACTACAAGCACCACAAAGGATCTTCGTTGTTGTTCTTGCTTGGAGTTGTTGGGTGTTCGTGCAGTTGTTCTTGCTCTTGCCGTTGTCTGTTGATAATGGTAATTGCCAATCATATAGTTCTTCTTTTTCTTGTATTTGGCAACCGCTGTTGTGTGGTGTGAAGAATACGTTGCGTGGCGTTTGTGTACTCTGACAGCGTAGTCACCATCAAGTTTCCAGTAATCATTTTCCACCAAGGATCTGTTGGTCTGTGTGAGTGGGTAGTGCAATTTGTTCTTGATTGAATCTTGGTGGCCAGGCTTGCCACATTGATGGCATGTTGTGTGGTTGTGGTTTCCTCTTCCTTTTGAGTTGCTATAGTTTCCTTGGCTTTTGTAGTCTTTGCTTGATCCATATCCTTTGGATGCTGAGTTGCTCTGTTGTGCCCCTTTGTTGTAGTCCTTTGCTGCCGTTGCTGTACTTGCCTTTTCCTTTTCTGCCCAGAACGTAGCCGGAAACGTCGCCGAAGTGCTCCATTGGTCTTGTTGAGTGGAATTGCAATCTTCACTCCATCTGGTAATGCTGTGCCGTTGTCTTTCTTGTAGCGGACCCCCACTGTAGGTTCTTCAAAATGTGGTCGAGGTGCAAAAACTGATCGTTTTTTGCGATTGCATCCTGCTCGCGCGACCCTCTGGGCAACCCTCTGCGGGAATCGGTGCAAAAACCAAGGTTTTGCGACTTTTGTGTTCGAACTGGTCCTCGGGAATGCCTGCTCCCGGAACCGGCGGGTCGCGGGTTCGATTCCTCCGTGGTCCACGGGCGGGCGTTGCATTTTACAGCAACTTGCGCAGAGCAACTTGCGCAGAGCAAGTTGCACAGAACAACAAGTCAATTGCACTTGACTCCTTGCACTTGCAACTTGCACTTACTCCTTGCTTGTTTCAAGGAGTCACGCAAGGAGTCATTGCAAGGAGTCATGGCAGGAGGCATTGCAAGGAGTCATTGCAAAGAGTCATTGCAAGGAGGAGTCATTGCAAGGAGTCATTGCAAGGAGTGATTGCAAGGAGTCATGAGAGCCATTGCAAGTTGCAAGGATGCATGGAGTCAAGTGCAAGTCGCAAGTGCACGGAGTGAAGTGCAAGTTGCAAGTGCAAGGAGCCAACTGCAAGGAGCCAAGTGCAAGGAGCCAAGTGCATGGAGTCAGTCAAGTCCAAGTTGCAAGTGCAAGGAGTCGAGTACAAGTTTCAATCCTTGCCATGACTTCTTGCAATGATTCCTTGCAATGACTCCTTGCAATGACTCCTTACAATAACTCCTTGCGTTGAGTTTCATGATGATGATTCCTTGCAATGACTTCTTGTAATGACTCTCATGAGAACAATTCAAGTGAACCCAGCGGAAGAACCCTTCGCCATGCTTTTCAGGAATCATGCATATATTTTAAAACCCCCCGATTTCGGGACCTTCCGGGCCGCGCGAAGAAGCGAGAACTTATGCCAGGAAGAAAAAATATCATATCCAAATAAACATAGCCGATGAATTCGGCCGGAATATCGTATAACGGCTTATCAAGACAAAAAGAATTACGATCTCGAAACCACACCGAAAACATTTTTTTGTTTCAATTCTATCATAATTAATCATAAAAAATAAAAAAAAAAAACAAAAGAAAATCCGCCGGCTCCAAAGGGGGAAGCGCATAGGAAAGGCTTGTAATGTTGGGTTATGCAGATGATGCATTGTCATGATAAGTAATTATGCATAACGATGACATGAAAACCTAATAATAATAATATATAATAATGATTATTACCAAGAATATAAACATAAAGATAAGACTACTACTAAATAATACATTTAATAAATATCATATTCATCATCATCAATTTCATCATTATCATTCTTCATCAGCATCATCATCGCTCTTCTTTTTCAAGTGCCGATAGACCCGACTAGAAATGCAAAAGATACATTATATTGATTCTTATAATAACTATTAATAATGCTAAGGATACATAATGATAATTATCATCAAAATAATAAACATAATAATAATAAATATAGTAAAAAACCTAATTTATCCTAACACTAATTCTCAATTAATATCATTTCATCTACCTATCCAATCGGGTTATATAACACATTTACAATATTTTTAATAATGCAAATAATAATAAGAAATTCTTATAATTATAAAGATTATTAATAATACTGAAAAAACACAATAATCGTTTTTGTATTTTAACCCTAATCATTGTAATAATAAACGTGCTAATAGTGATTTTCTTCATTATATATATATATATTCATTATCATTATTATCGTTATCTTAATCATCATCATTATTATCATTATCATTTGCATCATCATATTCCTCATCATATTCATTATCGCTCTTCTTTTTCAAGTGCCATTAAACCCAAACGAAAATATATTACATACATTACATACATTATATATATTTATAACATAACATACCATACCATACCATACCATACATACATACATAAATACATACATTACATACATTACATACATTACATACATTACATACATTACATACATACATACATACATACATACATACATACATACATACATACATACATACATACATACATACATTACATTACATTACATACATTACATACATTACATAAATTCATACATACATACATACATACATACATACAGACATTACATATATATATACATACACACACAACATACATACATACATGCATACATACCATACATACCATACATACATACATACAGACATACATAACATAACATAACATACCATAACAAACAAACAAACATACATACATAACATACATAACATAACATAACATAACATAACATACATACATACATACATTACATTACATTACATTACATTACATTACATTACATTACATTACATTACATTACATTACATTACATTACATACATACATACATACATACATACATACATTACATACATACATACATACATTATATACATACATACATACATACATACATACATACATACATACATACATACATACATACATACATACATACATACATACATACATACATACATACATACATACATACATACATACATTACATTACATACATACATACATACATACATACATACATACATACATACATACATACATACATACATACATACATTACATACATACATACATACATACATACATACATACATACATACATACATACATACATACATACATACATACATACATACATACATACATACATACATACATACATACACAAATGCGTATACATACAGACGTAGGGACACAAGAAAGGCAAGCGATCAAAAAAGCGGGCGCACGGACAGGCATATAGGCAGGAGAGAAAAAAAAAAAAAACAAGCAGTCACACAGGAAGGCAAGCTAACAAACGGGCAGGCAGGCGGGCAGGCAGGCGGCTGGGAAGACAAAAGGCCAGCCGGCAAAAATAGGGGAGGGGTCGTGCCCGGGCGGGAGGGCTCCCGGAAACACCGACAAAAATCAGCAAAACGGGCCACAAAAAGCGGCATCCAAACCGGCACAAACGTGCAAAACCCAGAAACAGAAAACAGCTCGAAGTAAGGCCGGAGCGGTACCTAGGAGCATTGTTTGGGTTGGACAAAAACACTGAAAAACACCTCCGGGAGCCCTCAAAACAAAAAAGCTCAAAAAAAATGACTGCGGCAACTCACTTTACGTGGATTGGGAATTATAGTCATCCGAAGCCTATATAACAACCAAATGCATCACCAGCGCACCAACATCATTATCACCCCAGAACAGAAGAGAACATAAGTCCCCTCAAGAAAAACGAAACACTGCCAACAACAGCCCGAATATCCACAGACCCTCGGGGTCTACCTAATACTTCCAAAGGCAGCCCGAGTATCCGCAAACCCCCGGGATCTGTCTCACAAACCAACATACAAGAAAATCCCCCCCAAAAAAAGGTAACAACACCAAAGGCAGCCCCAATATCCACAGACCCGGGAATCTACCTCACAAACCAGCATACAAGGAAATCCTCGCAAAAAAGAAAAAAAAACACCCCCAAAAACAGCCCGAGCCTCCGCAAACCGGCGCAACCCGAGCATCCACAAACCCCGAGAACTTTATCAAAGACCAATATACAAACAAATCCCCAAACAAAAAAAAGAACCACTACCAAAAAACAACGGCCAACATACCAAAATGTTCAAAAAAGGGCAAAAAAAATTACCCAAAAAAAGCCAACCAAAATATCCAGAGACCCCAAAAAACAATAACCCCGCAGAGGCGGCGGCACCGAGCGGCAGCCCTTTTCTATATAACAATATAAACAATATAAAACTAAACAAATTTCAACTAAACAATTATCAATATATAATTCAAAAATTAATATAATTATAACACATTTTTCACCATTTCAATCAAAACCATAAAAAAGAAATCATTAAAGCAAATATAATCTTAATATATATATATATTTGAAGCAACACACATTTAATTTAAATACCATATATGAAAAGCAAAAAAACAAACACAAACATAAAAGGAACAAAAGCACAAACGACGAAACACAAATAAAGTAAGAAAACTTGAAACAACAAACAAAGACATGAACATACATTTTAAAGCCTCGCCAACTTTCCTGATTTATCGCAAAGACTGATTTGAGCATTTGCTTGCTGATCGTGTGTTGAATTGCACTTGCTGCAAAATGCCAGCAGGTGTCGAGATTCTTTGGAACAAATCGGGTTGTTGCGGCTGCCAAAGTCCACACTTCTAGATCCTTTTTGCAGCTCACGTCAATCGATATCCAATGGATGCGGCAAATGCCCAAGGCTCTGACACATCCTCAGCGCTTGTGAAAACTGGAAAAAGAGTGCCTGCGTCAAAAAGGGGCTTTCACGCCGGGGAGCTTCTGACTGTCAGCTGGGCAGTTCTCATGCTTCTGTGTACACCAATTGAGATAAGAACTGGAACCCAAGCTAAACGCTGGAACTGGGCCAGAGTTCCAACATATTTTTTGCAGTAGGAAGGCAGCTTCAAGTGTGCAGAATGGTGATGTTCGAAGATGTGATGTGGAATCGCCATACTGCTCAAATGATCCCCACGGTCGCACGCCTGGCGTAGAGATCTTTGGAATCGATATCCAGCACCTTCTGCCGCTGCCGCACCTGCCGTCTCTACAAAGTTGCGGAATCTACAAGTGGTGTTTTTTCCGGTTCCATACTAGTCTGTAAGGGTGTGTTCACGCATGGCCTTCCATCCATGGTCACCTGTTTTGATGTCACTTGGTGCTGGTCACGGGTCACGGGGTGTAACACGGCTTTGTCATCCCGCAAAACGGAGCCCTGTTAAACAACTTTTCCCGCACTTGTAAGTGCCGTGAAGGGTTCTTGCGCGCGGAGACCGTGCACCAACTTGCGCAGAGCGACTTGCAGAGCCACTTGGGCAGAGGCACTTGCGTACCGCCAGGCTGGGCCGACTTGCACAAGAGAGCTTCTTGCGCAATGCCATTTGCACAAATGGAATCGCTTGCTTGGGGGGCGTGAATGGTCTGCGAAACGAACAATTGGGTAGAGAGGTTGGGTGTGAAAGGTTGGGTACCTTTGGGCGAGCTCTAGCATGGAGGCTTGGTGGCAGCAGAGGATAACTTTCAAGAAATCTCGCTCGGTAATAAGATTGTTCTAGTTTGGTGGGGGTTGGGATAGCGACCCTCTGCCAGGATCGGCGTCGTTGATGCGCAAAACCTATTTTTGGCGTGCGTGCGCGGGTCAATGTGCACAAGCTGAGCGCTGTTTGTGGCGTCGGCAGATGTGCCAAATACATTTCTGGGATCTTTCTGGTCGATGTGACGTTGTGTGGTTTTGTCATCTCTTGATCAACTTTCTGTGATCGGGGGGCTTTTTGAGACTTCTGCGCGAACCTCTGCGAGAATCGGTGTTGGGGGCTTTTCGCAATTCTCGGATCCATCCTCTGTGGTGTAGGGATTTGTGTGGTCGATTTTTGGTGATTTTGCGATGCCAGATTCAACGCGCGTGCGCGACCCTGGGACGCGCAGACTTGCACAGAGCAACTTGCTCAGAGTAACTTGCATGCAGCAATGTGCGAAGATGGCAGAGAGCAACTTGCACAGGGGACTTGGGCAAAGAGACGCTTGCGCAACAACCTCCCCTTCAAACCGCAAAATCACTTCCTAACCGGGACACCTTTGACTTAGCCACCTCCTGCAACAAGGCCTGCCCTGTGACTGCAGAGAAATTGCGCTCGATGTCTGAGCATTGCTGCAATCGTAGCAGCGCAATCAAAGGAAGCCTGTTGCTTGTCCGTTTCAGCTTCTCGTGTCACTATGGCGTGTAGCGATGGCGTCCAAGTGCAGCTAGCTGAGCCATCTGCGGGACTTTGGGTGTGCAGCAGCGTCAAGGCAGCTGTGTGTGGTGCAAGGCAGCTCTGGTAGATTAGTGGCAAGCTTGCGCTTCACTTTTCTTTGGCAGTGTGGTGTGTGGTGTTGTTTTCCCAACAGCATCGCGAAGAGTTCTTCCATGCGGAGCCCTTGGGCCAACACTTGCGTAGAGCTACTTAAGCAGGGCAAACTTGCTTTAAGGCTTGTTTGAGGCTGGCTAAGGGCGAGCCTAGAGTTGGCTTGGGCTGCTCAGGGTTTGTTTGGGTTGCCACGCGCCGGCCGACCAACTCTGCCACGCGCGGAAAACCGGGGGGCCGTCCCGAAACAGAAAGGATTTAGAGGGATACGCGGCGCACGACCGACCCTGCCACGCCCTGCAGGAAAACGTACGAAACAATACCGGAAGCCGCTGAAAAAAATGCCTCAAGAGGGTGATTTCCAAGATAGTTGACCTGGAAAAGCTTCCCTCAAACATATTTTCAATCCCTGCCCCAGCCTGTTTCGCCAGCTGCTGGGCCTCCTGCTCGCCTTCTGTGCCCTGCAGCTGCCGCAGGTCAGCCATGGCCAGGTCACACTCGTCCAGGCCTAAGGCGTAGGGCGATACTTGGGGGAACCATCTGTAAAACTGGGCTGCGCCCGAAACTCGGGGTCATATTTGCCATTGCAAGCACTATTTGCGGGTGTCTTCTCGTGTTGATTTCACAAACACTTGCGTGACAGTGACCAATTCCCAGCCAATACCGCAGTCCTTGCTGGGCTCATTCGCTCAAGTAGGCCCCACATTTACACATTCAAAGCTAAACACTTGCTGAGCAAAGTCTATATCATACAGGTTTCCCTCCGGGCAGCTGCGTCGAGGGCTCTGCCACGCCAAACCGCAACAAGCTACCAGTTCACAACTCGTTTGGCCCCCTCTCAACGGGGCCTGCGTGTACTACATACAATTGCCAATTTGGGTTTTTGGGCGCTGCTTCTGTGTAACTTCTACCCCGGAAGCCACTCCGGGAAAAGCCAGGTATATGGTGGATGGCTCAATCCCAAAGATTTTTGCGGAAACCACCGTGCTAAAACCGCTTTCTGTTTTCGACTCAGTGAGTTGGCGTGTCAAGTTGCTTGGACCCTTTTTGGTGAGTGTAATAAGAACGTTGAACGCAGCCCCCCAAATTCAATGCAAGTTTTCCCGGGAATGCCCAACCGCACCGCCAACATCAAACTTCCAAGATTGGCTGCGCTCTTCCATTTGCGATTCTGGCGCCATCCAAAAACACCCTTACTCTGAACCTCTGCGCAGAGTAAATCGCGTGTTGCTACTGGATTTATTTCTCCAAGTCAACATGCTACCGTATCGAACTCGCGGTGTTCTGAAGCCACCGGTTTCCTTAGCTTGCAAGAGTTGGACCGCGAAGCGCAGCCTTCCGTCCGAGGCGCCGAGGCGCGCGCGAGCGCGGCGCAGCAAGGCCTTCACGTTCATGGGCTCCGCATCCAGCGCCAAGTCACAGCTGCGGAGCGCCAGGGTGAAGCAGCCCGCCTGACCAAAAATAATGCCTGGGTCCCTTTACACGTACAAGTGTGCAAGTGGTAACTTTGCTTTCTTCGCTTAATTGCAGTGTAACCACCATTTGGAGTAAGTTTAAGGATGTCACCTTCATGGACCCGCCAAGCAGCGAGCGGTCGTGCGAGGTTTGAACAGGTCTCACTACTAATTACACAAAGGTTTGATCTCTTCAACATGTCAGCCAAAACAATAAACAAAGAAACATGAACAAGAAAATGAATATACATACACAAAGCAGTAACAGAAACAAATGTCCCCAGCCCTGCGTTTTCGGGGAGAACCAAAACTCAAAACAAAAACAAGTCGAGAAAACCGAAAAAAAACCAAAGCAATCAACCTAACGCTGCCTCAGATATGAGGGAAATGTTTTTGTATGACGGGGGAGAACCCAAACTCAAAAAAATCGAGAAACCAAAAAACAAACAAACTGAGGAACATGTTTTGGTATGACGGGCTTGCCTTGCCAAAGGTAGTTGTCTGGAGTTTTTTTGCTCTGTTTCTTTTTTTGGTTTTCTCGAGTTTTAGTTTGCTACTTTGCCACAGATGCTTGACAGGGCGCTCAGATTTTCGACCCAGCACGCGATGCAGATCATGGAAGCAGTCTGAAGCGCACTGCGCACAGTGTGTTTGCCAAAAATATTCTTGAAAAGTGAAGATATGCCGAGTTAATTGGCGAGATGGGAGGATGGCCAATCAACATTTGACCTTATAACCTTTGCATCTCTTGCCTACGTCAGTCTCTCTGTCATCTCCATCGCTAACTGACTTCTCAGAGATACCTTCTGCAGCTAATTTTTGGCCAGCGGCAACACTCACCGACTTCAAACCCGTATCTTACCTCTCTGTTCTCCCTTTCATTTCTAGTCCTCACCACCTACAGCTTCCTTGAAGAGTGGAGGGCGGAGATGAGAGAGAGGGGAAGGAGATGGATGGCCAATCAACCATCTGGTTTCCCTTAGTCATGTCTTAGAATCCAAAATGTCTTTCATGTCATGTTGGTTCTTTATGCTAATTCTCTTTCCAATCTCTTCATTTTTCTTCTTTCCTGGCCGTTGCAACGCTGGGAGAAAGGAAATAGATGAAGAGAGAGATAGGAAAGTGATCAGGCACAAGAGGAAATCTCACCCGCCGGCCAGTTCTTTCCAGCAGTTGCAAATGAACCCCTCTTCCTTCACCTCTATACAGCTTCTCTTTCCCAATCTCTCCCCCAATTGTAAGTTACTTTGGGAAAGGGGGAGGTCAAGAGAAGGGAAGTGAGTGAAAGCTAGACGGGCTGGAATGGCTTTATTGTTGTCGCAGCTCTTGGTCTAACCGTTCACTCTCTATCTCTTTCCCAATCATCTTGGCCTGTTATTCCCATTCTCTTTTTGCAAACTTGGGAGTGGCGTGAGAGGTAAGAATGGAGAAAGGGAGTGCAAGAGTGCAAGAGATGAAGGATGAGGGAAGAGAGTGGGTGGGGCAGCGCGCTACGGGATTGTTATTGGCGCTGAGGTCGCGCGTGGGAAAGGTGGTGATGTTGAAGATGCCCCGCGGTTGCTCAGGAGTGTAAACTGCATTACTGGGGCCTGCAAGTGAGCCCCTCCACCACCTCTTTGAGGTCATCATAGGTCATGTTCTCGGCCTCTAAGGCCATGTCTGTGTGCGGCTGTTCGTGGGCGACAGGAATGGCAGGCAAAGGTAAAGAAGGCTGCGAGACAACAGGCACCTGCCAGATGAGGATGCAAGGGTGCAAATGACAGATGCAGATGCCAGACGCAGATGCAAGGGTGCAAATAACAGATGGAAATGGCAAGGCAAATGCAGGAAAAGGGGGCAAACCACCAGATCAAAAGCTGAATGGCCTTATTGTACTACGTGCCATGAACTTGGAAAGCAATCAGCAATTGCAGAAGCCAAGGTTCCCATCGCTGCGCTTCTTATGCTTCTGCCCCCAACAAAAACCTCTTGTGACACAAAAAAACAAACAGCCTTTTGTCACGTAAAACGCAGGGCCGGGGACATTGGCCTCTCAACAGTAAATAACCATGAATAGTAAAGCATAACATAACTAAATACATATATGTTGCCAAAGAAGCGTGTTGTATTGGCTCATCGGGGCGCACCGTGGATAGCAACGTGTCACAAACTGTTGGGTTGCCACTAAGAGATGAAGTTTTAAAGTAAAGAGACAGCCAAGCAAAGATGTTACCAACTAAAGAGATAGCCAAACAAGGACAAAGCTAAGTAGAGGAACAGCAAAGCAAAGACATAGCCAAGCAAAGGCATAGTACAGAGCAACGACGTAGCAAAGCAAAGACGTACAAACAATTAGATCAAAGACATAGATCAACCCTCTGCGCACGTTCGGCTGGTCAACCTTCAAAAACTTCATGTTTTTGTTTGCGACTTCGAAGTTGCTGGACCTCCAAAAAAGTGAACCCTGTCCGAACTTTCGGGCAGCTGAAATCTTCACAGGGCAAAGGAAAAAAGGGCGAACAGAGGAATGGGCGGGATGACAGAATGTGGGCGGTTGAGCGCAGCTTGCCGTGCTGTCCCCGGCCCATCCGGCCTCTACTGGCAATCGCTGGCATTTGTTATCCCAGTGACATTACTCAGTGTAGTCAATGCAAGACCGCATGCAATGCCATCCTTCAATCTTCCTGCTTGCAGTGTCGCACGTCTTTGTGTTTTCCTGAAACATCACGTGTATTGAAACGAGCACCTAGCAACTATTGAGCCGCCAGGTTGGAATTCAACATGCCAACTTACTTTCCAACACTTTCTTTCTGCCCAGGTGCATCCTCAGTCTCGCAGAGCGGCCACCTACAACTACCTTCTCCTGCTCTCCCCGGAGCCCGTTTAATTTTTGACCTTCTGGGAGGGGGGAATGGGGGAGGGGGGAGGATTATTACTCCGAAGCCAGTTTTTGTCAAGCCACCATTGGGAGACTTGCTGAGGCGCCTGGTGAGGACGTGGCTTGTTTGAACAAGTGTCAGCGCGAGAGAAACATTGCTCAGCGCATTGTAACACTGTAAATTTGCACTCAGTTGCCCAAAGGACCCAGAAATAAAAGGCCAACCTTTTGGCACCTTTGCTAAACATGGACCAGAAGGGGACAACCAAAATGTCGAAAGGTCGGCTTTGTCCAAGCGAGGAGGTCCAAGCGAACAAATGATGTGTTCGCTGCGTAAGACACAAGTCGACCCTTCTTGGCGAGGCCCGAGAGGCCTATGCAACTCACCCGCATGTGAGGGGCCGAGTCGCTTGCAGCCGCAACAGAGTAAGAAGCAAAGGAGGCGGGGATTTATGTCATGCCCAATACCTCTTCAAAAGTCAGTGTGTGAGAAACTCAAGAGATCAAGCCTTTGGAACCCTGATCATGGACAAAGAGTGGGACAGGCCATATGGCCGCTTTCCTTGGCGGTCGGTTTCTGGGTGACCCTTCTATTGTTTCACCTGCCCATGGAAAAACCATGAACACCGCAAAAGGAGTTGGACACTTGAGACCCCCCCCAGCTCCTTTCCTTTGACCCATCGGGCCTTGATCAAGCTGAGGCTTCGGTTCAGGAGGCAGGCTTGCTTCCTTGGTGCCGCATGCGAAGGGTAGGGCTTCCAAAGGAAACCACGCAGTACTATGATCTTTGCAAACACACCCAGTTCCCTGAAGCTCCTGCCAAGGTCCAGCTGGCTCATATGTGTTGCCACTCAAAAAACAAGAGAGCAAAGCCCAAAACGCCAAACGGAGCTATGCGAATCCAAAACACGGGACTCCGAAAAAAGCTAGTCCTGCCCGTGACAAACTTGGCATGCCACGAAAGGGACTGTGAGCCTCAGCCAACAGCCGGCACTAACTCACCTGGCCAGTGGTTCTCTGAAAAAGGCTGACTTTCTCGTAGTGCGAAGCAACCGAAACAAGGGGAAAAGGGGGCTGTGAACAGGCGAAAGCAGACTCAGCTTTTTGGCAAACTGATCTGGCCCGGGATCTAACGTGAGACAGAGCGAATTCCAGCAGCCAAGTGCTGCTGGATCGGTGGGCGTCCCTGGGCCAAGGCGTGCCAGTGCAAGGAATCGCCACTTGAAAGACGTGCTAGGCAAAAAGGCTGTTGCCAGAAATGCAGACAGGACTGCCACCCATGGAAACGCACTGCATAGGTACACCTGCCTCATCCTTGCAGCATGTGTTGTTGCTGGTGCTGCAGGGCTGTCCAACTCCCAAGCAATTCTTGCATAATACCTGGCATTCAGTGCCCTCCTGGCACTTTTGCGCCTTTCCATCAGGCTGGAATAGCAAGGCACAACCGCCACCGGCGGCGACTTCATATGTACAACCAGGAGGGTAGGCCGAACCATTCGCTAGCGTTTGGACAATGTCCTTCCAGCTATGATCATAGCATCCTGCTCCAGGCCAAAAGGTTTCCGCGACCTCTGCACACTCCGCCTTGCTGGACAACACGGTCATATTGCCAGGGCACGCCTTGACATCCATATGGCTCTGTCTCAAACGAAGGACCCCTCAAAATGGCTGGTTTCCTGGTGTCAATGTTCTTTACTGCCCCAAACGGCGGCTCCCACCCAAGCACACCCGTCTCCCCAACACCCCCATAGGAACCTGGGTTTATGTCCCAGGGCGTAGGGGCTTTCCGAAAGTTGCAGCCCACACCTGATTGCCCACATCCACGTACTTGTCATTGTCCAGTGCACCAGTGAGACCGGCCCAGCACAAGATAAGCACATGCTGGATCCTCGCCATGAGAGATACTTTGGCACTTTGAGCCGCACGCTGCTAGTACTTTGTTTCTTTGCGGTCGTGAAGGGAAGACAACAGAAGATACAATTGCGATACGCATATTCAAATGTGCTCAAAGGGGATTTCCGCGAACCACCTTGACGTTTGGGGTTGAGCTGAAAAGTTTTGCAGGGCTGTTGCTCAGATGGCATTCGTTTCTTTCTGAAGTGTTCTTAAGCTTCAGGTCAGGTTTGGTCCAGGATCTTGTAGACAAGGAGGGTGCCTGAAACGAAGCACTCCCCCAAAATCGCATCAACCGCAAAAAACACTTTTTTGTCCAGAGCATTCATTTGAGGCAACCGTTGAATATATCATCCGCGGGTTACATCATACTTCGAGGCCAGTTGGATGCTACGGGCGATTGGGATCATTTCATACAGCAGGCAAATAAACTCCTGCAGGAGTGGCGACTCCGACAAAAATGGATGTTTCAGCCCACCCATCATCCACTGTTATCTTGTGGACAAATCCAACAAATCTGGCAGTGATTGGATGCCTGTGCCTTTCATTTGTCGCGTTCGGTTCCATTGTCCAAACCGGCTTCTTCGCATGACCCAGCTGAGTAAAACACAACCACACACACACACACACACACACACACACACACACACACACACACACACACACACACACACACACACACACACACACACACACACACACACACACACACACACACACACACACACACACACACACACACACACACACACACACACACACACACACACACACACACACACACACACACACACACACACACACACACACACACACACACACACACACACACACACACACACACACACACACACACACACACACACACACACACACACACACACACACACACACACACACACACACACACACACACACACACACACACACACACACACACACACACACACACACACACACACACACACACACACACACACACACACACACACACACACACACACACACACACACACACACACACACACACACACACACACACACACACACACACACACACACACACACACACACACACACACACACACACACCAGGATACTTTGAATCAGGCGGTGCCGATTAAAAATCAAGCCTCCATTTGCTGAAGGTGATTCTATAGTTTTGCCTTTGGATATTCATGTGGTATCGCCTGAGATCTGTCCTTTTTCGTGGCACCGAAGATGCAAGTGGAAGATCCAGCGCTGAACAAAGACTACCCTAGATAGAACCAGGGAAGTTGTACTTTGGGTTCTGCTTCGAACACTTGCCTTTGGACCTTCTAAAGGATGGGGTCCACACGTGTCCTTGTAGTTGTCGGTTTGGTTCAAAATATGAGTTCCACTTGATTCTAATTTGCTTCTAATCAAGAACACTTGGACACCAGTGCCTTTTAAGGGCACCCAGTTTCGGAGATGTACGCAAGGTTTCTTCGAACATGGGAGCCTTTTAAATGGGTGGTTTCCTCTTGGTTTCGAAGCAAAACAAAAAGAGCATGTCCTTCAAAGAAGACACGCCAACACAGCTTTCAAAAATCAGGGACCGCACCCAACCTACCAAGTTCCCAATATTTGGGGTCCCTGGAGCCATTTGCGCTTCGAGTGGCAGCGCAGCAACGCGCTGCTGCCTCTGCTGCCCAGCCCGCACGCCCCGGAAGTCGTCGATGTATCTGACATCCCCAGCCCCGACCCCATCCCTGACCTCCAGCAGCCATGGGAGAAAAGCACTTTTCTTTGCCAAGGCGACCACTGGAGGTCTGGACCGGTGGCCTGCTAGTTGGCCTGGGGTCAAATGTTAGTTACAATTGGGGGGGTAGGACCCACGGTTGAAGTTGCAAAGTGAGCCAGCGCCCATCCAAGCATCCCTCCTGACCCCATAAACCTAAAAGATCCATTTGGGTGTGCTTTTTCCAAACGTGAAGACCCAAAGGCATTTGGACATGTCACACCCATCCATTACCTTGAAGATGGATCTAGGTGAAATAAGAATTCACCAACCTGAAAGCAGGCAACCTCCATATATAAAAGGAACCTCGATGATGAGATCGCAAATCAAAGCTCTAGGTGAGGTCCCCGTAACTTCGCCAGACCTTTCTCCAAACCTGAACACCTTCAGATTTTGCTTGACTTGGTTCTTGAGCGCGATGCAAGCTAGTTTCGCCCATCCTCCGAAATCCACAGGAGCAGGAAAGCAAAGCTGCCCAGCAGGCAAATGGACTCCGTAAACACGGGTTTCATTTTGACCAAACAGGGCCAGCCTTGGCCACAATCACTTTGTGCGAAGCCCATTGGACTGTCTTCCCAAAGATAGCTTAAAGCCATAGTTCTAACTTCAACCGGCAGTCTGGGTGTGACGAAGAATCGTGGCCGGGAGTGTCGTTGACACCATCGGGGGCTGAGGTTCTCAGGCCTGCGAGGCAAGGGTGTGACTTTGAATGTTTGCAGGGTGCTCAACAGCAGGTTGCTGTTGCAAAGTGCTGGGTGCAGGGTTCCGCCAACTAATGTGATTGAGAGTTGTGCAGTGTGCTGTTGGAGGGTGTCACCAAGATGCTTGGCAGGGTGCTGTTGCAAGGGTGCAAGGCGCGCTTTGTACAGGGTGCTCCTAAAAATATCTTGCATTTAAGGTTCCCTGTCATTTTTGTGTGAGCCGTTGCGTTTCAACCACAAAACCAACGCAGCCAAAAGCAAGTTGAAACAAGAAGCTGATTTACTAGCTCTGCGCCCCGTGGTTCAACAAGACACAAATAACACACGACCAAACGATGCCAACTCAACTTGCCCAGCCACACAGGCTGAAACAGAACTGGACACCCTTGTCGGAGGGTTGTGCCAAAGGGAAAAACCTCGGGGTGTCACGTCGCTGGCCAGGCGACCCCAGCAGCTCGTAGACCTCTCGGAAGTGATACGCAGCCAGGCGCCAGCGCCCTGCCGCGTGAAACTTCGCCGCCCGGTCCTTGCGCTCGGCGAGCACCTGACGAGCCGGTTCAAACGGCAAGGCTCTCTTCGCCAAAAGGTCGGCTGGGGGGACATGAAAGAACACCGCAAACCAAAGCGGCAACAAGTTGAAAGAGCAAGCTTGGTCCGGCTACAGTATATCACATGCTGATTCGAAGGATCCTCTTGTGGAACAGGCGATTCTGGGATGAATCGTTTGAAAACTGGGTTTGACGACGCAGTTGAGGATCTGGTTCAGAAAAAATGACGCGCAAATGCCTTAATCCCGTCTCTGTACAATAGTTCGGATTGGGCTTATGTGGAGAGCTTGTGGGGTCCAGGTGAGAAAGAGTGCGTTCTGCCGTCCCAAAAAGCAAGCTCCAGCTCAATCCGTCAATCATGCGCAACCATATTTGATTCATGTCTCAGGTTGCTCTTCCTGGATTGAAGGATGAGCCGTTCATGTATTCCATGTCTGGAAACTATTGCTTTTAATGGTAACAGCGTCTTCGATATTACGTACTAGCATCTCGTGCCAAAGCACAAAGCAGCACTTGAATCTGTCTGCCTGTCACACTGGATTCGTGTCTTACCCGTCTGGACATTGTTTGCAAAGCTTGACAATACCAACACTCGCTCAAATTTAACCAAACAAGGCCAGCCTGGGGGTTGAATTCGCTTGCCGTTGAGAGACAAACAAATGGACCCCTGCAATGACCTTTTTACACTCATGTCTTCATTCAAAAATGAAACTGCGTCCCCCCCCCCCAAAATGCGGTGGGTGGGTGGGGCGGGGGGGGGGGTGGGCGACAAACTCTTGCTTGGTTGCAGGCATGCGTAGCGGCAGAGCAACTAGCAAGCCGATTCCGCTGAGCTGCCAAAAGGACCTGACGACCTGAACAGTGAATCTCTAAATTGGGTTCTTCAAGGGGCTCGCATGGTCAAACACGCTAACTTCCTACAGGAACTTAGCCCAAACGCTGCTTAGAACCTAGGACGGTGGAAAACCCAAGGAGTTGCGAGGGGAAGCGCCCTGAAATGTATACTCTCCTTTGTGCATGAGGGAAGGACTTCTATTGGGACTTTCGGTTTCTAGAATCTGACAACACACACGCACACATGATTTGTTTCTTGACCCTGTTTGGAAAATAGCACCCTTGGCGAAGTACAAGTTGCTGTGCGGCCGTCAAGAGGCTGCACCTACCAACCTTCAGCCACCCAGATGTTGATGGTGGCTCAAAGGGCAACACCTACCCACTGGCAACATGCTTCGTGGAGGGTGTCAACACTCCCCCGAAGTGTTACTCACCCCCCCTAAGGTGGGTTGTTTCCTTTTGGATTCGCCCCCCCAAAAAAAAAACAAGTTGCGTTTTCCTGGGGGTCGGAAGTGGCGCCTTCAGCAAAAACAAGCACACGCCCAGCGCCAAAAACTCCAAAGCCAAAGCGCTGTCAGCTTCTCCTCGTCTCCTCTGGCAACGTCCCACGGCCCCGCAGTGTACTTTGTCACCTCGCGTTTTCCCTCGAACGAAGGCTCCCGACCCCTGCGTCGTTTCGACCTGCAATCTTTGTTGGAGGGGCCGTGAACCAAAAGTAAAACGGGCAAACAATCGGGTTTGGGGTTGGAACAACATGGTCCCCAACGTCCGAACCGAAACAACAAATTGGAGCCACATTCATCTGTGCAAAATGGGATGGCCAATCCTAATTCTTTCATCCCTAGAGCCGAAAATGCTACAAAGGGGATTCCTTACGTCACCAAAGGAAGGATCAAGGACATTGAAAAACCATCTGGGTGTTCAATAAAAAGAGCCCTCTATTGGACTGTTTGCCAAGGAAACGCATGCAAACCACCTTCTGAAAACAGGTGCCCCCTTCTGGCAACACGTATTGTCCTGCTCGTCATGGCGGAGTCTTCTTTTGAAAGGTGGCCTTAGGCATTTTGCGCGGGTCTAGGCTGTATCCGACCGAGTCTGCAACAATACTGGTAGCACCCAGAAAGATGTGCAAACTCCGAAACTTGACCTGTTGAGTATACTGGCGGAGGTTTGACTGTTGGGCCTTGACTAGAAAGAAGCTTGCCGACAAACAAAGGAAAGAAATGACTCCCCAAGTCCGTCAAGTCAAGCACGCTGGAAATCAGAAAATATGAGACTGCCTTGTCCGCGTCAACTCGTTTCTTTGAAATGGAGCCTGGACCCTTGGTTGCCTGGCCCTCTTCCAAAGCTACAGCGCTGAGAACGGCGCTCTCTGACGTTGCTTTGAAGGGGACACCAAAAGGAAACCAGTCCCAGCTAGGGGACAGATCCATGACGCGATTCTTGGCGTCCCCAAAGTCAGCATGCCATCCTTCGAGTGCCATGGAGACATTTCATTGCGCTGGAAACCTAAACCCCAATACCCTCGAAGTGGTTGCAACAGTGTGTCCCCTGTCGCTGCATATCCCCAAATCGCAACTTGATCCATGTACGGGATGGGGCCATTCGAAAAGATTGCCATTCAACATCAACCCCCCAGTGCTCAACGTATCCTCCGATGCAAGCAAGCACCCCGTGCTTCGGAGGCCTGGAGCCTAAAGACGTCCTCCGTGAGGTCGCTTGTCGCTGAGCCACCTGGAGTGAATGCCCATGCCCATCACCCAGCCCACTAGCCACTGTGCAACCAAAGGCTAAAGGGAACCCGTGGACCGCCGTTGAACCCATTGAACAACGGCACTGGTCCCTTGGTTCCAAAGCAAGGTCCTTGGATCCATGAATTTGTTGCTCGCCTTGCTCGCTGATTCTGGGGACCCCGGCTCAGCCAAGGCTCGAACAGTCGTGCTTGCGCAGTCACCTGACATTATCCGCTGGAATGGGTCCCCCAACAAAAGGACTGAGCAACGCATTTGCAAGCGCCCCTTTTTGACACAATGTTGACCCCGGATTTTATGAAAACCTGGTTAAGTAGGTATGTGTGCGTGTGTCTCCGGGTGAAGGATGCCCACAACCAATAGGACACGCCCTGTTGCGCAAGAAATCCATTTTCTCCGCCCATGGTAGGTTTCTCCGATGGCTCCACAGAAACGGACACGCACCTCTTTGAAAACAGAGCATCCCACCAATGGCTGGTGTCATGATGTCTGCTTGTTGAGACATCTTTCACGTTGGTTTCCTTTCACAACTGCCCCCGAACAGAATGCCGAGTGTCGACACAAATGATCCTTTGATCGCCTTTCATTGAAAGGGCTCCCGATACTTGCTGTTCCGGTTGGTTGCTCCCTCGTGGATTGTTCTACACCTCCACCAACAAACATGGAAGTGCACAGGACATGGTTGTGGGAACAAAAAAACATTCGTGGTCAATCCCCTGTCTACTTTGTCACTTCAAAGGGGATTCCCTCGGTATCGCAGGGGGTGGCCCTCTTCCAATGAAAAGTGGTCTTCCAATAGAGTTCTGCTTGTTCGATTCAGAAGAGAGTCCCACCAAATGTGAAGGATCACCAGTCATCGCTATGGAAAATGGCTGCCTGTCAGTTTCCGTGATGTTCCGTAGTCGTTGATTCCCATCCCTGTGATTCCCTTGGCCAAAGGTGTGGGCCATACCGGGGACACCTCTTGTGTTTGCAACCAGGGGTTCTTAATCCAGAGCAGCGCTAAGGAACATATCCTGGCCCCTGTTGAATCCCAGCTCCCATGAGAATCAAGCAAGGCATACTGTATTTTCTTTGCCCTTCATAGTTGAGGGGATCAACTCAAAGAAAACGGGGATTCAACAGAAGTGCTCCAAGAAAGCAGATGAGCCCTGCGTCGAACTGCAACCATGGATACAGGGGTCAACAGCTAGGATTCAACAGAGACCACAACTTGCCATATGTCGACATGCGCAAACCAAGGAATACTTTGGAGATATGCTGCCAGGGTTGCCTTGTGATCCCCAAGAGGGATTCTGCACTCAAGATGCGCCCACTTCGATGGGAGCAAGGGCAGGAAAAGGGAACCCCGCAAAACGGGGACGATGCAATGCAAGCGCTTCGGCCGCCCTCAGCGCCCCATGAGAATTCGCGGGAAACCACGCCTCTGCCAGTTCGCCCTCGCGCATCTGCAGAACGGCTGCCTGCAAACGGGGCCGGGTTTCATTTGTGGACCAAGGAACACTGCAACCCACCAAGTTTTTTTTGGGGCTTGCTCAGACCAACAAATAAACGGAGCCACACAGAAATACATACAAAACAAACGCACACAAAAGGACACACACACACACACGAGACAAACACAAGCACACAAACACAACCACACACAACTACACCCGCAGCCACACACACACACACAAACCTGCACACAACACCAAAAAACACAAAACAAACATCACACACACACACACACCCGCAGCACACACCAAATCACCCGCACCACACACGCAATCACAAGCAAACATCCAAACAAACTACACCAGCAGAGACCCCAAACAGTTGAGGACTAACGGGCAAGCACAAACATGCCAACAGCTTGTGGCTTTCTGCGCTTCAACACGGATGAATCAAAGCGATGCAGTCGTGCACCCGGCACGCGTTGCGTTGCTGCACGTGTGTTGCTGGCGTGCTTCTCGCTTCAGCACCGCGCAGGAACCGAGGTTGGGCAAGCGTGTGCGATAGCGGGCGAGCGAGCGCGCGTGAACGCAAGCGTGGCTGCGCAAGCGCGTGGTCACATGGGTTCAGACAACACATGTGTATACGACTGAAACAATACACACGGCACGCGCAAATGTGCACCCGTTAACACACACATACGCATTCACCTGCGGCACACGCAGAGCTGGAAAACCAACGTGCGCTTCTTGTAAACCACACACACACACATGTGTACACCTGGAACACATATATGTGTTCACCTACGACACGCAAATGTGTTCACGTGGAACACACATGTGTTCACTTGGAACACAATGAAACGCGTGTCCAATTCAGACACACATGTGTCTACACGTGGAACTCACGTGTGTTCACCTGGAACACAAAACACTTGCAACTAAAGCACACATGTGTGTACATGTGGGACACACATATGTATACCACTGGAACACAACTATGTGCCCAGAAACACCGCGTGTGCGATCAAAGCACACATGTGTGCACGCGTGGAACACAATATGTGCACGCGTGAGCAAGCATAAATGCTCACCTAAAGCGCACACGCACACACACGCGCGCGACTCGAAAACAAATCATGCATTTTCTTTGGCACATACATGTGCACACCTGGAGAGCAATGTGTCGTCAGATGAAAAAATGTTCAAATAGCACATAGTAATGTGCACATGGAACACACATCTGTCCACCTGAAACACAAACACGTGTCCAAGTGGAACACACATGTGTACACGTGGAACACACAGATGTGTACACGTGAACACTCACGCAAACACGTGTCCAATTGGAACACATGTGTGCACACGTGAACACACATATGTGTACACGTGGAACACACATGAGTGTTCATCTGAAACAAACATGTGTTCACCTGGAAAACATACACGTGTCTGATAAGAACACATGTGTGTACACGTGAACACAAATATATGTGTACACGTGGGAGGCACACATGTGCACACGTGAACACACACATGTGGACAAGGGAACACAGACATGTGTGCTGCACACGTGACCACACACGTTTATGCGCACGCAGAAACACAGACACACACACAAGTATTCATCTGATAACAACACGTGTTCTCCTGGAACACACGTCTCTAGTTGAAACACAGAAGTGTGTACATGTAAACACACGTCTGTGTACACGCGGGACACACACATGTGCACACGTGAACACACAAATATTAATGTGCACCCGGAACACACACTCGCGTGCGTTCGTCTGATAACAAACATGTTCTCACCTGAAACACAAACATGTGTCCAATGGAACACACATGTGTGTACACGTGAACACACAAATGCGTACACGTGGAACACACATACAAATGAACACACATACATGTGCACGCGGAGCAGGCCCACACACACACACGCGTTCATCTGATAACATACATGTGTTCTCCTGGATCACAAACACGTGTCCAGTTGGAACGCACATGTGCGCACACGTGAACACACAAATGAGCACACGTGGAACACACAAACGAGCACACGTGGAACACACATGCGGAGCAGACACGAGATCATCCAAACATGTGTTCTCCTGGAACACATACACGTGGACACACAAATGTGTACACGTGGAACACGCATGTGTGCACACGTGAACACACATTTGTGTACACGTGGAACACACATATGTGTACACGCAAAGACACACACACATATTTGCAGACCCAACACGCACACACACACACACTCACACACGCGTGTTCGTCTGATAACAAACATGTGCTCCTGGAACACACACACACACATGCGTACACCTGGAACACATATGTGTGTATGTCTGGAAAGCACATTTCTGTTCACCTGCAACACACATTTGTGTTCACCTGGAACCCATACATGCGCTCACTTGGAACAGGCATTTGTGTTCACGTGCAACACTGGTGCAGACCTGGATCACTCAAACATGTTTAACCAGAACAAACTTCTGTGCTGACTTGTAACACACATATGTGTACACATGGAACACACGTATGTGCACATGTGGAGAAACATGTGCAAGACAATTGTGCAGCACACATGCGTTCACCTGGACAACAAAAATGTGTTCACATGGAGTTTACATTCTCTGCGCTGTGCGGCACGCAAATCAAGTTCCCGAAGCCGGCTGTGAGGCTCTATTCCATGGGGCTCTGCACTTGTGTTTTATATGCGTGTTCCAAGTAGGAAGATAGTGTTCGTGTGCGATCAATCTAGCAATTTTGCAACACGTTGCTAGCGCGCGAGCCTGCTGCTGCTGCTACTACCACTGCTAATACTGTCAGTCCCGGGTGCGTCTCCAGCATTTACAGGCATCATCGAAGCAAAAGCTTTCCGGCGCATTGCGCTTTTTTCTCGCTTGGCTGCACAATGTCTTTTGTATCGAGCAATCTGTTGCTCGATGGAACGCTCTAAAGTGCCTTTATCGTAATGTGGCAACTCTTCGTATCGATTCAGTGAAGCATTTGCTTTTGCAGGGAAATACACAAAGCCCGTCGCAGCAACCCACGCGCCAAGTCTTGGAAACCAAGATCACCGAAGACCCTAGCGCAAATCAAGCGCCATCCTAGCGCCTCCGGGAGCGCGCAATCTATTGGTATTTGCAGGACTCCGCTTTGTATGAATGAAAAGCTGTACAAAGCGACTGCGACGGCGGCCTCTAGCTCCCTTACTAAGAATTTTGACCGGGTCGCACATGTGTTTTATCTGAACAATCGCACGCTTCACCTGGAACACAAACATGTGCTCATGTGGAACACACTCATGCGGTCGCATGCCAACGTGTTCACTTGAAACGCGCCGATGTGGTCAGCTGGAACACACAAAGACGACACAATCATTCACTTGAAGCATGCTGCCTGTGGCTTGATCAAGCGCACGCGCGCGCGCGCGCTCAGACACGCGATTCTGAGCCTCAAACACACGTGCCTGCCCGCGGAACACACCGCGCATGAATCCGTGACGCATCTCGGCTGGGAGACAACAAGAAGGAGACAAAGGGAGAATCTTGAACCCGTCCAAGCTGAGAGACAGTGGGAAGCAAATAAACCCGTCCACCCCGAGAGGCAGCCAACCGGGGCCAAATAAAGGGAGGTAAGGGGAGACAAATGAATCTGTCCACCCAGAGAGCCGTGCCAGGCATCCAGGCTGGGAGACAACAAGAGACAAATAAAGGGAGACAAAGGGAAACAAATGACCCTGTCCGCCCAGAGAGCCGTGCCAGGCATCCAGGCTGGGAGACAATGGGAGACAAATGAGGGGAGACAAAGGGAGACAAATGAACCCGTACACCCAGAGAGCCGTGCCAGGCATCCAGGCTGGGAGAGAACGGGAGACAAATGAAGGGAGACAAAGAGAGACAAATGAACTCGTCCACCCAGAGAGCCGTGCCAGGCATCCAGGCTATGGCATGGCAATAGGCGAGTCACTTTAAATGAATTTAGAACCCCTCACAGTAAACTGCTTGGGGAACAAAGGGACAAACAAACATACAAACAAACAGACAAACAACCAAACCAACAACACAACGATGAACAAACACACAACCAACCAACCAGCCAACCAAACAAGCAAATAAACAAGCAAGAAAGTGCACAAACAAACACCACCAAAATTGACACACTGCCAAATCAACAAACCCACACACACACACCAACGAACCAACAAAACAATAAGACAAGGAAGAAAGAAACAGCTAGAGGCAACCAAACACACAAACAAACAAGCAAACAAATAAATTCACAAACAAACAAATAAACAAGTTAACAAGAAAACACAAACACACGCGCACACACACAAACAAACACAAAAACACACACACATACATACACAAACAAACAAACAAACAAGCAAGCAAGCAAGCAAGCAAGCAAACAAACAACCACCAACCAACCAACCAACCAACCAACCAACCAACCAAACAAACACACCAACCAACCAACCAACCAAACAAACGAGCAAGCAAACAAACAAACAAACAAACAAACAAACAAACAAACAAACACACAAAATGAACAAGCAAACATAGAAACAACCACGGAAACACACACACACAAGCGCACACACACACACACATACACAATCACCACCGCCCGCACCACCCAAACCACCCGCACCGCTCGCAACACCTGCACAATTCGCACCGCTCGCACCGCTCGCACCACCCGCATCAGCTGCACAATCCGCACCACCCGCATCATCACCACCACCACCACCACCACGACCACGACCACGACCACCACGACCACGACCACGACCACGACCAATCATCACCACCAATCATCACAAACAAGACCACAAATAACACTACCACACGACGGCGCGGACAACGACGACAACAACAACAACAGCAGCAGCAGCAGCAGCACCAGCAGCAACAAGCATAACACAAAACCGAGCAAGAACACCAACAATGACCTCAGGAACAAGAACAAGAGCAGGAACAAAAACAGTAACCCAAGGAATACCAAGAATCATACACATATCACCAGCGACAAAAACAAGAACAACAAGGACAGCAATACTAGACGACGAGTGGCCCGGAAGCATAGAGGCAAGTTGATGCAGGTGAGGTAACTCTCGCAAAGTTAGCATGAGGAGTTGGCAGGCGAAGCAATTCTCAAAAAGTTGGCATGAGAAGCTGGCAGGTTAAGTAACTCTCGAATAGTTGGCTGGCAAAGTTGGCGGGTGAAGTAATTCTCGCAAAGTTGACATGAGAAGTTGGCAGGCGAAGTAACTCAAGAGAAAAGTTGGCATGAGAAGTTGGCAGGTGAAATAACTCTCAAAGAGTTGGCATGAGAAGTTGGCAGGTGAAGTAACTCTCGAAAAGTTGGCGTGAGAAGCTGGCAGGTGAAGTAATTCTCGAAAAGTTGGCACGAGAAGATGGCGCGTGAAGTAACTCTCGAAAAGTTGGCGTGAGAAGCCGGCAGGTGAAGTAACTTTCGAAAAGTTAGCATGAGAAGTTGGCAGGCGAAGTAATTCTCGAAAAGTTGGCGCGAGAAGTTGGCAGGCGAAGTAACTCTCGAAAAGTTGGCAGGCGATGTTGGCAGGTGAAGTACCTCTCGAAAAGTTGGCATGAGAAGCTGGCAGGTGAAGTAATTTTGCGAAAAGTTGCCACGAGAGGTTGGCAGATAAAGTATTTCTCGAAAAGTTGGCATGAGAAGTTGGCAGGTGAAGTAATTCTCGAAAAGTTGGCAGGTGAAGTTGCCACGAGAGGTTGGCAGGTAAAGTATTTCTCGAAAAGTTGGCATGAGAAGTTGGCAGGTAAAGTAATTCTCGAAAAGTTGGCATGAGAAGCTCGCAGGTGTAGTAACTCTCGAAAAGTTGGCATGATAAGCTCGCAGGTGAAGTAACTCCTCGAAAAGTTGGCACGAGAAGTTGGCAGGTGAAGTAACTCTCGAAAAGGTGGCATGAGAAGCTGGCAGGTGAAGTAATTCTCGAAGTTTCGGCATGAGAAACTGGCAGGTGAAGTAATTAACCCTCAAAAAGCTGGAGCGGCGGAGGCGCTCCGCGTGCTACATTTGCAATTTACAGTTGCGATTTTCCAGCCATTTGTATCTAAAAGTTGCGATTTTCCAGCCGGAGCTGCGGGAGCACGCTCCGCGTACTACGTCTGTACTTAAAAAGTGCGATTTTCCAGCCGGAGCTGCAGCAGCCTCCGCGTACTACGTCTGTACTTAAAAGTTGCGATTTTCCAGCCGGAGCTGCAGGAGCACGCTCCGCGTACTACGTTTGTACTTAAAAGCTGCGATTTTCAAGCCGGAGCTGCCGCGGACCAGGGGGGAATCGAACCCGGGACCGCGGGATTGCGAAAGCAGGCGCGCACACCACGAGACAACTTCCAAAAGCCGTTTCGCGAGCAAGAAAAACGCACGGCGCCACAGCTTCGACACGCACGATCTCCGCAGAGGGTTCATCGGGCTCAAGACAGATGCGCACGGCGCCACAGCGAGAGCGATCCGACACGCACGATCCCCGCAGAGGGTTCATCGGGCTCAAGACAAATTCGCACGGCGCCACAGCGAGAGCGCTTCGACACGCAGGATCTCCGCAGAGGGTTCGCCAAGGTCAAGACAAATTCGCACGGCGCCACAGCGAGAGCGCTTCGACACGCACGATCTCCGCAGAGGGTTCGCCAAGGTCAAGACAAATTCGCACGGCGCCACAGCGAGAGCGCTTCGACACGCACGATCTCCGCAGAGGGTTCGCCAAGGTCAAGACAAATTCGCACGGCGCCACAGCGAGAGCGCTTCGACACGCACGATCTCCGCAGAGGGTTCGCCAAGGTCAAGACAAATTCGCACGGCGCCACAGCGAGAGCGCTTCGACACGCACGATCTCCGCAGAGGGTTCGCCAAGGTCAAGACAAATTCGCACGGCGCCACAGCGAGAGCGCTTCGACACGCACGATCTCCGCAGAGGGTTCGCCAAGGTCAAGACAAATTCGCACGGCGCCACAGCGAGAGCGCTTCGACACGCACGATCTCCGCAGAGGGTTCGCCAAGGTCAAGACAAATTCGCACGGCGCCACAGCGAGAGCGCTTCGACACGCACGATCTCCGCAGAGGGTTCGCCAAGGTCAAGACAAATTCGCACGGCGCCACAGCGAGAGCGCTTCGACACGCACGATCTCCGCAGAGGGTTCGCCGGTCAAGACAAATTCGCACGGCGCCACAGCGAGAGCGCTTCGACACGCACGATCTCCGCAGAGGGTTCGCCAAGGTCAAGACAAATTCGCACGGCGCCACAGCGAGAGCGCTTCGACACGCACGATCTCCGCAGAGGGGTGCGTTTCGTAAGCTCCCGTCGGGCCTACCCCCGCCATAAAAAGAAGAAGAATTAAGAGTCGAGATGTGAAGGTAGAACAGAAAAGTTAGCTTGTGTTTTTAGGATAGTGAAGTAACACCCGACAAATTAGCTTGTGCTTTTAGTAGAATGAGATAACAGCCGAAAAGTTGACATGAGAAGTTGGCAGGTGAAGTAACTCTCAAAAAGTTGACATGAGAAGTAGGCAGGTGAAGTAACTCTCGACAAGTTGGCATGAGAAGTTGGCAGGTGAAGTAACTCTCGACAAGTTGGCGTGAGAAGTTGGCAGGTGAAGTAACTCTCGACAAGTTGGCATGAGAAGTTGGCACGTGAAGTTGGCAGCCGCTTTTAGAAGAAGAACCCTTCGCAATGCTTCCGGGAAAAAATACAAACAACAATAACAAGAACAACGCAAACACCAGCAACAAGAAGAAGAAGAGCAAGAAGAACAATAATGACAACAATAACAATATCAACAAGAACAACAATAACACAAATAACAAGCATACCAAGAAGAACATCAAGAACATAAATAACAAGAATAACAGGACTCACCAGAAGAACATTACCAACAATAAGAACAAGAACAACAAGGGCATAAACACAAGACAAAAACAACCACAACGACGACGACACCACCATCATCATCAACAGCAGCAACAGCAGCAACAGGAGCAAGAGGAGCAACAGGAGCAGCAACAACAACAACAACAGCAGCAACAACAACCACAACCACGACGACAACGACACAACACCAACACACCACACATCCACCCACACACACACACACACACACACACACACACACACACGCATGAGCACACACGCGCAAAGTCACCATCACGCATGCACAAGAACAGCAACACATGCAAAAACGTTCTTATACAGTATGCACACAAAGCAGAGCATAGACAAGCACAAACAGCGCCTCCAGGGCCTCTGGCAGCTCCCCGGCACCACAGCAGGCGTGCCATACACGCTCCTCGCGCAACAAATACTCTGCGATTCACATGAAACTCCCCAGAAGATTCCTCTAAATGGTTTGTTGGGTTCATCTCCTCTTGGGGAACCCTTTTTGTGGGCTTCATGCTAATCTGCAGGAAGGCATCAAAGGGGGCGATTTCAGGGCGCAAGACGCACCTTTTTGCTTGAAATGGTGGATGAATCATCTCTTGGAACCGCTGGCAGATAGCACATCCTGGGCCCTTCTGCTCTTGCCAATCCCTCGGAATCGCTAGCTTCTGTCCCGCTCTTGGGACCAAACCACGAGCGGAACATACCAAGTAGTGAGCCTCAACATGGGATTCCTCTCATCATGCTCACCCACTAACAAAATGCCAGGAGCGAAGGTACATATACATTCTCATAGCACTTGAACTTTACGTTCATTCCAACACAAACGACATTGCCCAAACTGGGTGTGAGATTGTCACAAACAAGGAGGAGGTGTAAGATTAGTCCGACTTCCCCAAACGCTTTGGCGGAGCCGCCCAAACACACCACATGTTTGTTGCCGTTCAGGTGAACGATATGGCCAAGCTTAAGCATTTTCTGCCCTGCCGGCCTTCTGGGTTTCCTTCATTTTTGCTTGGGCAAAGAGTTCACTTTGTCGCGGATCAAAATCTGGCCAAGTGTTTGTGCTGCGCTTGAAAGCTGGGTGAAATCTAATGGCCATAGCCAAAGGCCCTCCCCGCGCCTCGCTGGCTTCGCCCGCGCGCGTGGCGCGGACCTTGCACTGGCCGGCGTAGGCGCAGCGAGGCCAGGCGTCTCGGCAGTGGAGCGAGCGCTTGAGCACCGCGCCGTCCTTGAAGCATCGAATTCATAGGATCACACAATTCGACCTGGCCTTGGACGTGCTTTGCTGCTCCGAAGCCCAAGCGAAAACAGTGGAGTGCAACAATCGCAACAACCTGCTCTCCTCAAATCAACAAATGGACATGGGGTGATGCATTGCTTGCTTTGCTATCCAGGGCTGATCAGCAGGTCAGCTTCTCAAGCTGACGGAGGGGGGTCTGTCCTTGAGGGTACGTACACTTTTCGGGTGATTTTCAAGCAATGCAAGGAACACCCCCCTCTCCCGAAACCAAAACAAGGGAAACACGAGCCGCCCAGTGCAGCGTCTCCTTCTCAAAGGACACGTCCGCACTTTCGATGAAGTCATGCAACTCCAAATCCAGCGTCCAGTGCTCCGCGTCCCCTGACGGGGCACGCCCTGGTTTGTCCCATGGCCATTGGGCAGGAAAGTGATCCGGGCTTGATGCGAGTTATTGTTGCAGTTTATACATGTTTTTGACGACTCAAAGGGAAACACCCCATAGAATGGCATCTTCTAATAGTCAAATTACATTTGACCAAGTGCGGACAACGCATGCCACGCTTGATTGGCCTGTCTCCGGATAAGGAATTTATTTTCAGAAAAAGGAAACCGAACCGGACACATACCAAAAACAGAACCACAAAAATCAAAAAATGACAAGAAGGCATCAACCCAAAACTCGCCTCCCCAAATTCACCTACAAGTTTTCAACAAGTTTGAGCAGTAAACTTGGGCAGCCGCTTTACAAACTTGGGCAAATCTAATCGAGTTGTTGGTCCTAAGAATGCTTCCTAGGTACTACCCATGCCAAGACAGACTTTCCGAACCGTGTTGTACTTGTAGTTCAAGAGCGTTTGGATTGAAAAATACGGCTTAGGAAGATGCCACTCCGAACAAAAAACGGGTCGCATTGGAAGCTTTGCTAGGTCAACATCTAACCTAAACACGGAAGAAAGGGTTTACGACGTCTCAACAAAGCAACGCCACAAAAACAAACCAAAACACAGAGTAGGGACAATTGGGGGCTCGCTGCTGGATTCTTTGGGTGGTTTTGTTGGGTGGTGCTCTTCTGCTCCATAGGTTTCAGCAGGGATTTCGGTTCGGGGTTGGGTCCGGGATATGAAGAGAATCCATTGAACTCCCGGACAGCGACTCACCTCCTACGTCTACGTGTAACTCAAGTTTTGGGTTATGGGACACCGGTCGTCCCACGGCCAAGAGTCCTCGGTGCATTCACGTCACCCTTAAACGTGGATGCTTAAAATCCAGGCTTGATGTGAAGGACATGTGTTTGGACCGTGGCACATTGTTGATGCTCTAGGAATGTCACAGGTGTGGAATGAAATGCTTGGGATCCGCCTAAAGGAAACTACAATGCTTTGCTTCGGGCTCATTCCAGCTCCTTTTCTGAGCGCCAGCAAGACCCTCTCAAATTCTATCGGTCAACACGTGGACCAAATTTGAAGAACAAACATCTCTTGGGGACCCCCCCAGCCACAGGAAAATCCACTTAAAGCAAACTGTTCAAGGAGATTGTTCATAGGATTGCATATTTGTCATTCCCTCATTCCTCAGTTGCTTTCTGCTCCCCTGCCAAAAGTTTAACTTTTAGTGGTTCAATGGAAAACCCCATTAAAGTCCTGACATCCAAGCAAAAGGCATCAAAGATTCCCTCGTTCCCTGAAAAGATCATCTGGACAACCCACCTGGACTCCACCCGCGAATCGCGCGCCACTCCCTCGCTGGGCCTCTCGGCAGCTCAATTGTGGCGCCGCCGCGCAGCCGCTGCGCGGAGCAGCGCAGCGAGCTGCGCTCCCCTCGGCGCATGGACAGCAGCGCCTCACGTTCAAGGCGCGTTGGTCGAAGCGCGGAAGCGAAGCGCCTGGATGGACATCACCCTTGTGACGCAAACGTGGCCGGAAAAAAGCGAGCTTTTCCGTGAGGCAAACGTGGCCATCTTGATTTCATCACTTTGAATGGGGATTTCCTTTCATGGCTGCTTTATCATCCCGTTGGCACACGAAAGTGACCCTAACCACCATTCTCCCACCATGACCTGGTTTGAGGAAAACAAAAAAGCTCGCGAAGGAATTCCCATTGGCCAAAATTCAGCTGGAGACGCTCAGGCACCCCGGAACCCTCGAGCCCACCGGACTGCTCCAAAATAAACCCCATGGCAGTTGCTGTTGGGGACTTGTGATCTTCCATCTGGCATCATGCCAAACTGGTTCTTGGCCCTTCAACATGCCGCAAATGCCAAGACAGAAAACATGCTAATTTTCTTTTCCTCCAAAACTGAAAGCACTAAGGTACTGGTGCATGAACCCATCCCGAAACAGTCTGTTTCCCCCAAGAGACATATCCAGGTAATTCCTGGTCCAGCAAAGCCGCCCCATGGCGCGTTCCTTTTCTTGCGCTCACAGTCCAAGGGCGCTGGGTTCCTTGCGAAGGGATTGCCGTCCTCAGATTTCCTTACGTCCCAGGCGAGTCCCCGGTTGGAAACACTGGTACCAACATGAACCTGGGGACTTCCGTCCTGTTCTTGGAGTATCCATGGCTTGCACCTGAAAAAGGGCCCCTCGCATCTTTAAATGTGTTCACGGGGCCATTTGTCTGAAGCAGTGGGATGGTAACCCAAGCAAAAAGTAAACGGGTCTATTTGAGGTTCCCAATTTTGTTTTGAGGTAAGCCTCACAATGTGGAAAACTGGCCCCTTTCCTTCATATCGAAGGGGGATTCCCATGCATATGGCTAGTGTTGCTGTTTGCAAATGTGTGTGTGACTTTTGATTGTTGTCACAGAAAGCGTATGCCAAAGTAGCAATGTAATTTTGCTTTAGCAAAACATTTTTTTCTCTTTCTCGCAGAAGCACATGCAGACTGTCCTAGCTTTTCGTGTAGATGTATTGAATCTATGAATATACAAAGAATCTCTATATACATATATATACGCTTATATAAATACATTTTTCGTGTGACTTTGTGCGGTTTCAGGTTCGTGTTCGTGTTCGTGTTTCTGTGTTCGTGTGGCTTTGCGTCAGTCTCTGAGAGGCTTGTCGATGCACATGCCAATACTGTATTGCAGGCATTCTTATGCTCATTCACATCTACATGAACGCATATGCGCTTTTCTTTTTTTCTGACACAACGCCTCCGACAACAAATGCACACGTCATGTGGCTACCCTCCTGGAGGGGCAAGCTCTCAAAACTAGCTGGTTGACATTGATTCCATGCAAATGACGTCTACAATTGGGTCCAACAATGACATAACGTAATTCATACGTGCACATAGATACGGAGAATCAAGCTACCATATTGCAACGCCTGTCTTGTCACCCGTCGCAAACGCCACACTCTCCTGCTCATGACTACTTCACAAACTCTTGGCATGTTCACAGCAGAGCTCGCTTTGTTGCACCGCCCCCCCCCACCCCCCCACTAAGTATGACGGACATGCCAAGAACAACGAACTCTATATTACTAAATACGAAGCATTGGGAATTACCAAAAGGTCTTTGTTTTTCTTTGTGAATTTGCTTTGAGCGCAGTAAATCTCAAAGGCCGGACAAATGGAACACGCCTTTGTTGAGTCCATCTTTCTGAATAACCCCTCTTAGGTATAAATGGATTCCTGCATGCCGCGAATGGGGCTTGTTGTTCCACCGGATTTCCAACTAAGCAGGGACATAAAGGGGCATTTAATGCCAAACTCAACAAATACAGCTTCCCTTGTGTCTGCCTTTAGAGGGATACAAGCTTTTGTAAGCACATAGATGACCACCCCTGAATTTCCGCTGTAAGCATCACCAAACACAACCAACTCACTTGAAATTGGACTTTCAAAACAGTGATACTCAACACCCATAATATACTCTTTTGAACCATCATGAAAGCCAAAAGGGTTTTGGCAGACTATCATCTTGAAAAGGCTTCCTGCCCGCTTCCATGATCGTCTCATTCCTCAATACTTGGCCAAACAAAGTGGGCAGAACAGTTGCTGCAACCTTCTGGAAGCTTGATTGAAAATGGACGCCAAGCCAAGAGGTAAAAGGCTCAAGTGCCCTGCACGTGGCTTTTGGCGCCAGCTGCGCGTGAAGAACGAGAACGCAGTTGCCTTGTCCAGCAGCCAGCCCGTGTGGTGCCAGTGGCCCTCACAGGGCAGATCCTGGATCTCGTGTTGGAGCTCGCACGTCCAGCACCTGAGAGACAGCCATTTCCCACCGCAAGACAGGAGGTGAAGGGACTTATAGCACTGCAGTCTTGGCAGTGGGTGTCCCTTTGAAACCAATCCACCAAAAGGGGGCAGTCCTTTCTCCTGGAAGCCTGCTGTTGGATGGGATAAGGGTTGGCTGTGGATGGGTCTGGGCAGAGCTTGGAGCTGATTTCTGTCAAGTTTGGGGCTGGTTTAGCAGTGGTTGTGTGGTTGCTTTAGATGCTTAAGCAATCGTTGGGCTTGTTTGGGATTGCCCACATCGTTGGATTGGTCTGTCCGATGCCTCCTTGGTTTGGGCTTTTCCTTCGGTCCCCTACTGCTGCTGGTACTGGCTGGTTTGTGGCTAGATTCGGTTAGCGCAAAATCGCTGCCCCGAGGGACACCATATTTTGAATCTAGCGGCACCAGTGGAGGGAAATGGACATAGAAGTATTAAATCGCAGGAGAGAGTAGTGAGCCATCCCTACCAGAAATAGAGACGTCGCCCAAAAGAATACCAAGCGAAACACATCACCCCAAAAAAGAAGCTTCCCCACAATTGGCCCAACATAGAATGATTGAACTGGCGCAAAAGGGAAATTTAAAAAGATCATTGCTGGCTCCTTGAACTTTATTTTGGCTCCAAAACTGATTTCTCGATCTTGACCTGCTCATAGATTGCTTCTTGAAAAGGTATCCGCTCCATAGAGTATATTGTTTTCTTTGCTTTAACTATTCCTTCATAATAGAATATTCTGTATTCAGTTCTCTATCGTTCACAACTGTTTCCCATCGCTCATAATTATTGAAATCCGTTCACATCTTCTTTCCAGGGTCAGTCAACAAACAAAACTTTGACGGGAGGCACAAACCCATTCTCGCAAGCCAGTGTCAGCTACTGCAACATACTATGGCAAAATCCGAATTCCTCCAAAGAAAACCTCAGGGGAATTGACCTGCGCGGTAGGGTTCCAAGAATTTGGGGACCTGCAAGATACACACGGAATGCTCCCCGGGTGAGCTCGAATCTCGTGAGGAAAGCCCATGCCGAATCCCAAAGTCGTCTCATCCGCGGCACGGTGTCGAAGATTCCTCCGCTAGGGACAAGGACACCTGGCAGATCTGGCCGATGATGGGCCTGGCGAAACTTCCCCAAAGGATTGGTGACTTGACACGCTCGTAAGCATTGGTTTGCCTTTGGGGATACAGCCACAAGGGTTCAAGTAAGTGGGTGGGGAATTTGGGAAAGCCGTTACGAGGGTTCCTATTCAGGCCATGGTTCGTGGGAGTTTTGAAGGGAACCCGGCCCAACAGAAACGAACAAAGGGGGATTTGATTGGTTGCATATATGGAATGTACTTTGCAACCTGTGGTCTTTTCAATGGGAGAAGGACTTCCTTCCTGGAGAACTAACAGAAGGAATCTAAATTACACACAAGCAGAAACGCACGTACACACATCCTATATTCCATTTGTTGGTTACCTCTGCAAGGACTTGAATCCCAGGCTTTTGCAGCTGGCTGTGGCTATCAAATGCTGCTCCTTTGGGGGACAAACCACAAGCTAAGAGCAGCCGCTGGGAATTGATCGCCTTTCAGGGTGGAAGCTTGCTTGACGGGGAGTACTGACCTGAGTGAACTGGCCGGGCGAAATGACAGCTTCGGTTCAATCAACCTAGCAGGTTCATCAAAAGGAACTTTAGAAGGAGCTTCTGTGGTACGGACACTGTTTGAAAGCTAGCTCTCTGACAGAAGACCAAACATAAACAAGCAGCCACGAAAAGAATGCGTGCGCGTGTGGCGGGGGATTAGACGTGTCCAAAAAGTGCAACCCTTTGCGGGCTTTTGCTCGTTGCGATGGTCGAAAGTTAGCCTGGTCGAAATCAGGAGATTTGTGGCAGCTACAGATTTCGTGGCAGGCGCACCACTCTTGCAAGATATCGTGGCAGGACTTTTGAGCGGGCATGCGCGGATTCAAGATGGAGAAGCAAATAAATAGGTAGCTGGAGAACTGGATTCAGAGTGGATAAGTGGATGGGTAGTTAGACGGGTAGATAATGAGATAGATAGGTAGCTTCGGGAGCTGGCTAGTTAGTTCGATAGGTAGGCAGATGGAAAGACAGATAGATAGAGCAGATTAGACCAGATTAGATAGATAGCTACGGAAAGAAGAAGGAAGATAACGAGAACATATAATGACAAAACTGATTATAGTTGATATAATTATTGAACATTTTGCCCACCGGCTATACTACTGGTATCGGACAACTTGCGAAAGTGAAAGACCTTCACAGCACAGCACCCATACTTATTCTGCATCCTTGGGCTCGCACCAGCACGCAAGCAAACCTGGAAAGGAACTAACCATCTATCATGTGAGGCACGGTGGAAATTACTCACTTGCAGCTGTTTCGATTTACAAATAAAGGCTAATTCTAAAAGAAAAGAAGAAAGGAGCCGAAGAAGGAAGGAATGAAGGAAGGCGGGGAGGGAGGGAGCGAGGGAGGGGAGGGGAGGGGAGGGGAGGGGAAGGGGGAGGGGAGGGCAGCGGAGGGGAGAGTGGCCTGGCCTGGCCATGTTTTTGCGTTTTCCATGCATATCGTTCAGGGTATTGTTCAGACCGCCATCTGAAACTAGAAAAATCGGCTGGCTTGTGCGGACTGCTGTCAGGTGACTGGTACCTGGCTTTGCTGCTCAATATTCGCACCGGCCCGATCCATGCGAAGTCCGCTTGCCTCATTTGCACAGAACCGCAATGATAGCGCACGTCCCAAACAGCGTTCGCCGCGGAAAAGGGAGAGAAACGCATGCGGGCACCACTCAAAGGCGAGAATCATGCCACCCAACCACAGCAAAAGTATCAGAGTGCCTTTTCAAATGAACTATTGGAGGTCCCTATCACATTCTAATTGGCACTTGCGATTCTTTCTACAGATATGTTTCCCAACCTCGTGAACCAAACACATGCGGGCCCAAAGATGAATGGTGTCGTTTTTTGTGAGCCCCCTTTCGTTTGCCATAGTTTTGTGCATTTGCACAACATCGACGAAACACCGGATACTCAATTCAACAGCTGTGATTTGGACGACGCCTCTTGTAGGATCACTCAGATGGTCCGGGAGGCAGCTAAGTACAACCCTCCAGCTAGCCCCTGGTTCAATCCGTGTGACCAGGGTTGATAAGCATTTAGCAAGAGATGAGTTTGTTTGGGTCTTGACTAGCGTCAAGCCTCAAGACACCCAACAGCAAAATGTTTCGCCAGCTTGCCAGCCCAGGTAAGTCAATGGTGCGGGTCTCCCAAAACGGCCCTGGACAACACCCAAAAGACGGACATTTGCCCAAGAGCATCGCGAAGGGTTCTTCTGCCGAATCTCTTGCACTTGTTCAGAGAGCTTGAAGAGACGAACTGAATATAATTCTGGAGCAAAGAACTTGCACAGAACAACTTGCACAAAGAACTTACAAGTAGAAACTTGCGCAGAGAACATGTATACAGAGAAGCTTACACGAGAACTGGTTCAGATAAACTTGCAGAGGGGAGTGTGCGGAGAATTTTCACAAGCAACTTTTGCAGAGGACAACTTCACAGAACACTGGCTCACAGAACTGCGCACACATTTCTTTACTGCAGCACTTCTGCAAAGATCTTGCGCAGAGTAACTTGCAATAATAATTTGCTCAAACAACTGGACAAAACAACTTGAACCACTAACTTACACATCTCATTTCGTGCCCAAAGACTGGGGCTGCTTTGGAGAACAAACAAACCTGCATGGCCCAACTCCTGCCTACAACTTAGTGAATTCAACTTTCCGGGCTTCCTGTTTTATAGTTTAGGTCCTTTTTCGGGGGTACCCTTTGGGGCTTGGCTTAAAGGAAGGTCTAGAGGCAAACCCAACATTTTGGGGGTCCCCTCAGAAAAGAACATGTAGTTTTTGGTCGCCCAATTTGGACAAAGCACCCTCAGGTTCCAGGGATTGGCCAACCAAACAAATGTCTTGGGCAAGGCTGTCTTCCCAACCCTGTGCCGGAAAGCTTTGTTTTTTTGGCAAGGATCCAATAAAACAACCTTAACAACAAATCACACACACACACACACACACCAAAAAACCAAAACAACAACATTGAACGTAATGTAGCAATGGGCGCATCACGAACAGTGAAGCGTTGCCGCCTGCGTTGGTCTTCCGGCTTTCGCAGGATACCTCAAGCCCACGGATCTGCCTGTGATGGACTCTGCCTTCATATCTACCCCAAAAAGCCGAAACCTATCCAGCAATTCCATATCATTTGGCACAGCGCCATGCACAATATGCTCAGAATATGTTTCATAGTGAATCCAGGTGAACACAACCAAGGCAAGCTGCCTTTTTGTGCGATAGTTCTCGAATTGTGGGAAGTCTCAATCGAGAGCGCTCGAAAGAAAGAAAATGCACCGCTGGAATATTTGTTGTGGAAGCCTCAAGTGAGGTTTGCTTATCCGTCATGGAAAGGAATACCACTCAGAAATGCAGAATGGGGAAGTCAATGTGGCCATGGGTCAAAACCCAAATCATACCCCCAGTGAACATCCCAATCTCCACTAAAATAGGTTCTAAAATGGGTGGTGAATTCACCTACCCCAAAATGGGATCCCATTGGTTTTGACCCACAGCCATGTTTCAACTAGCTATCCTTGCATCAGGGCCCTGGTGTCGACCGCAAGCAAGGGCGCAACTTGCCAGCAAGAAGCGGCTGAGCACGACCACGTCCCAACCACACAGACAAACAGACCGGCAAACAAACGGACACTCACCCACCCAAACACCCTGACACAGAGACACAGAGACACCAAAACACACACATACACAAAAAACAAACAAGCAAACAAGCAAACAAACAATTAAAGACACACACACACAAACCAACAAACCAACAAACCAACAAACTCACAAACACGCAGACAAACAAACAAACAAACAAACAAACAAACAAACAAACAAACAAGCAACAAAACGAACCAGCAACCAACCAACCAACCAACCCAACCCAACCCAACCCATCCCAACCCAACCCAACCCAACCCAACCAACAAACAAACATACAAAAACACATCCACACAAACACGCGCACAAAAACAGCCGCACACACACACAAACACACACACACACAAACACACAAACACACAAACACACAAACACACAAACACACAAACACACAAACACACAAACACACAAACACACAAACACACACAAAAACACACAAAAACACACAAAAACACACAAAAACACACAAAAACACACAAAAACACACAAAAAACACACAAAAACACACAAAAACACACAAAA